AAAAAAAAATGCATCTGGAAAATGGCCTTTCTCATTGACAGTTACACTGGCCGATCGTTGTTAGAACGTTGTCGCACAAATAGTAGGAAGAATATAAATATAAATATAAATAAATAATTGAGTAAATAAATATATTGCATATAAATATAAATAAATGAGTATATTTATATGTTTATATTTATATAGCCTATTATATATTGTATTTATTATTGACTGGACTGAGATAGCAGTTTAGGGCCTAATGCTATGAACTATCATAGATTTGGTAACACTTTTGAGCAGTTATCACCGTTGATTGCAAACATACAATGATAAGGTGGTGATTCATTTTTTGTCGTTATCTTTGTTGCTTTTTTGAACGCTAACTTTGTAAAGATTTTGAGGTTACTGAAAATGAAAAGGATTTTGATGTTGCCTCGTATAGATTTATAATTTTATATACTTTATATATTTTTAGGCTTTATAGATTTGTTAAAATAGAGTGCTCACTAAAGTCTTTTTTTTTTTTTCCTTACCATTCAAGTGGTTTCTTAAGTTATGGTTATGGTTTGTCCCTAAGAAAAGGTGATAGGAAAAGAGACCGTTTTTTTTTTTTTTATTTTTTGCTCTGCTTTCTTCTGCTATTAGTCATATTGATCATTTTGAATATCTAGGTTATGAATAGTTATTTATATCTGTATACGGACGTGTACATATGCACAGTTGTAAAATTTTTTTCATCTGTGGGTGTATATAAAATTGTTTTTTATTATTTTGTACAGTGTGAGTCATAAGAAATTGATAAGGCGGTTAGAAGCTATGGGTATTATTCGTATTGTTGTATAACAGAATCGTTTTTCTCATTAATACCAGTTTTTCCTTGATGACGGAAATTAGCACATGCTGTTGAGGACAGTTTGTTTCTTTACTCAGGTTTTTGCTTGTATCCCGGAGTGATATATATTTTTTATTATCTTAGAGCTTCATTCAACTGTTCTGCTGTATTGTGGGAAGCAAGAATTCATTTTTCTTAAATTTTATTTTATTTTATTTTTTTGCATAAATATCTCAGTACTTTTAGGATATCAATTCTTTTGATTTACAAATTTTACCAAAATTTCTTGACAGGAAAGTATTTTTTCGGTATTATAAATGTGCTCTGAAGTTCAGCAGTATAATTCTTGCTTATGTAAAATTTTCAAAGATATTCCTAACAGCAGGGTTAGGGAAGAAGGACAATTTTAAGAGGTCTGAATAAATTTTTTTTCTTTCATCTTAAAGCGGTTTTTCTGATATAACTTTAGTTTCTCCGCTTAACACTGATCGGTTTAAATTTTGTGTTTCTATTGTCTGATTTCGCATGTCTGGTAACCGTTCTTTTCCAATTTTGAGTTAAAGCTTTTATTGGTGAATTTTTTTTTATAGGTTGGAGGCTTTTTTTTCTTTGTCTAATGTAGTTTCTCGAAGCAGCAGACTTTGAAAGTGCTTACAATGGAGGATGATGCGGAAGCGAGGCGTAAGGTTGAAAAATACATGAGACTATTAAGCCGAGATGAGAAGGTAAATCTTCCAGTGGTTCCGTACTTGTTCTTTTTTTGCAGTGAAGTTATTTCACCTTTAAAACCATAACTGCTATCTTGCAAAAAGTATAGAACGAATTTTTTTAAGGGAGTAATTGTCTTTGGGGGAGCGCTTGTTTTATGGGTTGTTTTGAAGTTAATTCTGCACCTCAGAAGGACCTTCTCAGATTTTGTTGTAATACTTTTTGGAAAACTTTATGGTTGTTATTTCAAGGTAGATTATGCACTTAAGCGATTATCGAACATGCACATAACGTTGGAATTGTTGTCTGAAACTGGGGTGGGGAAAGCGGTAAATCAGTTGCGAGACCATCCGGAATACGGGAAGGAAGCTCGGGAAATTGTTGAACGTTGGAAGGATCTGGCACGGAGTCATGGGTTGTCTCAACGAAAGTTAGTTATGTTTTCTTTTTGTTAAAAGATATTATTGCAATGTTTGATACTCACACTTTAAAATTCGGTTTTGTATTACGAGAGAATAAATAACTTTCTAGCTAGAATGGTTTCCGCAATTTCTACCTCATTTTATTTCTTTAATGGTTGTCTTAACTGCATTATTTTTAATTATTTTTAGTGAGAAGAAGCCTTCTGAGAATCCGAAACGTGAATCTAGTCCTGCAAAGAAAGATAAGAAAGTAAAGAAGCGTAAAAATAAAGATGCTGAAATCGCAGATACAAGAAAGAATGAGGTGAGCATTTATTCACGGATACAGTCGGCTTGTGTTGCTTCCCGATTATTGATATGCCATTCATCTTGCTCGCTTGATTTTTTTTTTTTCTTCAAAGCGGAGTTCAGATTGTCAAGTTTTTGAAAATCTGGTCTAGATTATTGAGTCTGTATTTCTAAAATTTTTTTCGGTTCTTTCTTTTTCCTCGACAGCCTTTTACTACATCTTGATTTTTTCCATTTTCGATTTTATCTATTAAAAACTATGAACAGTTGCGAACAGTCTGAGTGATATAACCTTTCATACGTGGAGTTTAGGCGTCAACGAGTGATGTTGGTTCATCAAAATCAGGTATTAGTTTTGCTGATATGCTTGCAAGTGCTGATAATGTAAAACCTCCAAAAAGCAAAAAATTGAAAATTGACTGGAAATCGTCACCTATTGATGTAAATTATACGCCATCGAGACGGCTGAACTTGGAGCCAACTTTCACAGCTAAACAACCAGGTATTGTGGAAGAAGATAATAATTTATATTGTTATAGCTTCGATGAAGTGTGGAGCTTTACTTAGTCTTCAGTTTTTTTGAGGTTTTATTAAAATGGAGTCTAAGTTTATTGCTTTCAGTTGCAACAAGAGGCTCTAATTTGGATGCGGCTATGTTTCGACCGCGGAAAGATGCAAGAAAAATTTTTGCTGGTCGACCGAAAGGCGATCATTGTCGGGAAGTGCCTAGTCTAATTGATATCTGCGTACGAGTTCTAATAACACACATTGATGGTCAGTAGAGCATAAATTTATTTTTAAGAAAGTTGCAAAGTGTTTTTCGTGGTTTGAGTCGATGAATTTTTTGGTTTTAGCGATTGAAGAGACTGGAGATATTCCGTTCGATCTTCTAAAACCGGTATTAGAGAAATGCACTCCAGAACAATTAAGAAACATTGAACGGATAAATCCGGTATTATGTTAAGACTTCTTAAATTTTTTCTGTCAGTGAAGTTTCTGAATTTTACCATTGGTAACGGGGTAACAGTTGGAGATT